TTCTGAAGACCCCGGTGGTTTTCCTCGCAAGGACCATTCGCGAGAGAGAGAGAGAGAGAGAGAGAGAGAGAAGGGATTTGGGGGATTGAGAAAGGTGGAGGGGGTGAGGGAGAGGGACTAGTGTTGAAAAGATACGAATGTAATCGATCGTTTTCCTTGAAAGGCCTTGTAAATGATGTTGGCTACGATATCGTCGAGGACGGTGTGTATATCTTCTCTGTCTTTCATCTTCTGTTTTTGTGTTTACTCTTTACCCACGCGTGTGTTTCAAGCAGGAAAATGGAGAATATTGCTTCGGTGCCGTTAAGTGAACTCCCACCGTAGGGCTGCGATACTGTTGTGGCAAGTCAAGGATTAGACACACCCGATATAGTCTGGGTGCTTATAAGATAATTTCTAAGTTCCTATACAATGTCTTTGTTTGGAAGTACACAACTGCCTTGGAGACTTTGCATACACTACAGTGAAAAGAGTGATGGCGCGGGATTGGAAAAGGTGGGGGGGGGGGGGTGTGCAGGTGTGCAGGTGATTCTTCCAAATAGAAGTAACTTATTGCTTCTGGTGGACTGCTGGGTTCGTTAAAATTCCAAATTATGGCTGTTTCTAAATCAAGAAAAAAATTCTTATTTTTTTAAACAAAACCAATCAATGAATTAAACAGAGACCCAAGCAAGACAACGCAACATGCGAACCCTGCCTCCAAAGGAAAACAACTGGACGCGTACTTAAATAAATAACGAGTACAAAAGAACCAGTACCATGACAACGAATCCTCAGGCCTTTTCAACACAAAACAACAAATAATTACTCCAACTCCACTGCATTTCTCCCGTTGCTTATCTCTGTGCCGTACGGAGCTGTTGTAATGAAACAGCACTTGCAGTCAATAGGACAAACAAGCAGACAAAGAAACAAGGAAATTGACCCCTTTTGTACCCAACCCATTCCCATTACAGACTTGCCCTCTCCTTGTGACAAGCAGCCGTCCTGTGCTGTGCACGATTCTATTCTGAGTCTCCTCAACTTTCTATTGATTTCGAGTACTTGACTCTGAACCAACATGCTGACAAGCTCTTCTAGTCCCATTGAGAAACCCTACGATTCTCCTCGATGGCGCTTAATTACAATTTTCACGAGCATGGGGGAATTATCTCCCAAATGCATCGCCGCAGAAGTAAGGCTCTTTTGCGGTTCTTTTGCCGTAGAAATCATCCACCCTGTCTTATTCTTTTATAACGTTTATAATCTAAAGTCAATTTGATGGGCGTCACCACTCACATCTTTCTTTTTTTTTTTTTAAAGAAAAAAAAAGATGAAAAGAAGAAAGTCACAGACGTCCATTTTGTATCCTCGTGCATCCGGAAGTCGTCATGTCGCCATGTGCGATTGGCGCCTGTGTACATGGTTCCCTAGTAGTGTGAGCCGACCGGTCCCCGTACGTTGTTCCGTGCAGTTTTTATCGCCCTTCTATTCTTCCCCCCATTGTGTAACGCGCTGACTCGGTGAAAGGAAGCGGCAAGGAGCGCACCTCCAAGGGTTCAATCTCTCCATGTCTGCTGCTGTATTCACGGGAGCTTGGCGGGCATGCGGTGTCGAAATTTGTACAAGATGACGCGGAAAAGCCGTCCCCTTAATGTCTGCTCTCGCTGTATTGACACAACGCACAAACTCTACCTTGATTGCAGGTTTAGAGAGAGCCGCTCCGGAGGGAAGGTCGAAATGCATGGTATTACGCCTTGTGCGCCGCGTGGGGTCATAAGCAAAGGGTTTTGTGGGTTATGTCGCGATTGCCACAAAGCTTTAGACAGCTTGAAGTGTCTTCTTTCAAACCTCTGAGCGCTGTCTGCGAGCGGTGCCCACGACCAAACAATATGCCCCGATTCTTCTGAAAAGCAGGTCGTGATGTCATCGCGATAAATATCTCTGTTCTTGTGAACTCTTTTAGACAGCGGTCTCATCGAAATTATTTAATGAATGTCTGAAACGTGTCATCATTTGTCTTTATGCTGTGTCCACATTCATATTTGTATTTCTTTCTCTCTGTAGAATCTGTAGGAAAAGTTTTATTCCTTTATTCTCTTGTGTAGTTACCTCTTTCTGCAATTTCCAAAGTGGATATTAACTCGCCGAAAATTACATGTCGCAAAAAAGAACTTTTTGAAAATCTTAATTAGCATACACAAAAGGTCATGCAAAGTTCGCGAGATTGAGAGATCACGAAAGCCCCTTTTGACTTCTTCCAGGACAAAAAACACCAACAAACATGTCACATGTCTTTTTTTTTTTTGGTAAGTGTTTTACGGCGCTCGCAACTGCATAAGGTCATATGAGCGCGCGGGACACATTGAACTTTTTCAGTTGGTAGGAAATTTTGAATTTTGCCCGGGTGGCGGCCGAAGCTTACTCTTATCGATTTTAGATCCCCAAGGGATCTTTAACGTGCACATGGGCACTCCGAGATTTTTCGCCATTGTCCGAGAAGGCTAGGTGTAGATCTTTCCTACCACAAGATCAGGGGTGTGGCTGAAAGACAGCAGTAAGATACTCCTAGGAGTATCAGTATAGGCTACAGAAAGAGTCAGGAGCCCAGAGGAGGGGGCAAAGGAGTTGAGGGGGTC